ATTATTATTATTATTATTATTATTATTATTATTATTATTATTATTATTATTATTATTGTCATTGTTACTATTATTATTTATTATTATTATTATTATTGTTAGTAGCAGTATTGTTGTTATTATTATTATTATTATTAACGAATGACTTACAACTCCATCCTCAAATATTTTAATCACCGTCCTGAAAAGGTTAAACCATCCTCCTTAAATGGTTAAATTTAAGCTTTTTATTGATATTATTATTTTGGGGGGATAACAGCTTAGTATAGAGTGTTTGGCCGTGTGTGTCAGCTTAGTGCCCAGTGATAATGTTTGGCCCTATTATGTGTCTGTTAAGTGACTAGTAATACAGATTTTTTGAGAACACACACACACACACACACACACACACACACACACACACACACACACACACACACACACACGACAGAAAAAGTCTTTACTATCAAGTATTATAATTATTATTAAAACGTGACAAAATAAGAATGTGAGAAATTAATATAATAATACTCATAATCTGGTCATTATCTTCACAAAGCAAGACTCGTGGAAGCAGTGTCTATTATTGTTGGTTATGACGTAAGCCAGGTGTGACGTCATGTACCTGATGAGCCACTGCGTTTGGTTGAGATTATCTAGGTTAAATGAGACGAGGCTTTAATTAGACTAATATCGTAACAGCTAATTGTGTAAATGAAATAATGAGCCTTAATTTACGGCAAGAGTCATTTTCATTAGATTTTATGAATGAAAAACGTCAGGGTTTTATACAGGTCTTGAATTATAGCGTCTTTACTCCCCCACACACGACAAAATATCAATAAATTGTAATGGTAGATTAGTTTTGTTTTTTACATATTTACAAAAACAATGATAGAGTAGGGGAGGGTAGACTTGACTGTGTGACCTCTTACGACCTGACCGGGTGACCTCTTGTGACCTGACTGTGTGACCTTATATTGACTCTAGAGCCACGTGTGCCCACCCGCCCGCCCGCCCAGACCAGACTGAAGGAAGAGAGCTATAACTTCCCTTGTGGTCTGGATATTTGTGACTGTGTGTGTGTGTGTGTGTGTGTGTGTGTGTGTGTGTGTGTGTGTTGAATTAGTCCGTCTGTCTGTGTGTGTTTGTTGGGGTGTGAGGAAGTATATTTTAACCAACCTTTTTCAAGATTCGAACTCAATAATCCGTCTCGGCTTTAATCTTCACTTATCTGGATTCAATTAGCTAAAAAAAATACAAGAAAGAGAAAGAGAGAGAGAGAAAAGAATTCGAAACCTTATATGAAGCATTCGATTCTTCTCCTCCGCGCCCCAAACCCCAGTTGACTGAATAAATATTGCGATCATTTTTAAAACGCCTCGAGATCAAAGCATTTATAAACTTTCTTTATCCTTCACTCCTTTATCCTTCATTCCTTCATTCTCCTTCGTTCTCCTTCAAAATTTCTAGAATTCCCTCCCTCCTTCCCTCCCGGTCGAAACATTTTAGGAAAGATTAGACCACAAGCTGAAGCAATTTGATCAGGGTCTTAGTGTTTCGTTCGATGCTGTTCATTAGGACGAGCCATTGTCTCGATCTGACCTGTTTATGTGAAACTTTGTGAGAGTTGAAATATTGGGAGATAGTGAAGGTGGTGGAGATAAGGTGTGGGAGACAATTAAGGTGTTGGAGATAGTGAAGGTGTGGGAGACAATTAAGGTGTTGGAGATAGTGAAGGAATAGATGCAGGAAATAATGAAGAATGTAAAGTCGCAAAATATACCTGGTTATTTATTCCATGTAAAAATGAATAGAACGATGTCATTCACCTGATAGTCTCCTGATGAATGACGAGTGACATTTTACCTGTACAAACAAACAGACATCATTTTTACAACATTCTAAGCATTCATAATTTTAGTTCTCGATACAGGAAGAATGTTAAGAATGTTGAATGTTAAGTTTTAAGTGTAGAAATTAGGAAAAATTACTAACTTCAACATTCTAATTAATTTCTCAAGGATATTTGAATGTTAAGAATGTTGAATGGTAATGTGTCACTAGGTTTACTATAGCGAAACTGAACGTTACTTCCCAGGATAGGAAGACTAGTTAGAATGTTAACCGGCTATTACTCAAGATAGGATGAATGTTAATAGTGTCAATTAATATTTATTTAACAAACGTCACTACCGATTACCTTAACACTCTATTTATTTTTCATAGGAATGTCAACTAGCGAGTCTCCTGTATGCATAAATAAACACACACACACACACACACACACACACGCACACACGCACACACGCACACGCACACACCACCTCAACTATAAAAAAGAGAGTAGGTTGTCCCTGTTATACATGGTAATGCATAACAACGGTAGATATTACGTAGAATTACACGGTTTGTTATCGACGTGAGGGATGTTTCTGTCAGGGATGTGTCAGGGTGTGTCAGGGATGTGTCACTGTAATATGTATTTAGCTCGAAGTTATGTGATAGTGAGCGCTGTGTCCTTGAGTATGATGACTGAACACGTTATATATGAGTATGATGACTGTATGATAAGTATGATGAATGTATGATGAGTATTATGACTGTATAAGTTAAGAATGATAAATGTATCCTGTGTGCGTATCAGGAAAGTCACACATGTAGTTAGTTGTAGTTTTTCATTCAATTTTCAAGTCTGTATATATGTGTGTGTGCCTTGAGTGCTTTGCAGCATGAGAGAGAGAGAGAGAGAGAGAGAGAGAGAGATAATTGAGTTCTTGGTGTAAGTTAAAGACATAGGTGAGAGGAAGGAAAGGAATTAAAAGAGATTAGGGGAGGAGAGATAAAAGAGATAGAGAGATAGAGAGAGAGAGAGAGAGAGAGAGAGAGAGAGAGAGAGAGAGAGAGAGAGAGAGAGAGAGAGAGACAGAGTTGAAGGGACGGTCTAAGAGAGAGAGAGGGGGAAGAAACGGGCTTGGGGAGGGGAAGGAGGGACAGGCTTGGAGGAGGGAGAAGAGACAATGGGGAGGAGGGGGAGACAACAGAAAGAGGATGATGGTAGTGGTAAAGGGAGGGGAGGGAAGGGGGGAGGGGGAGGGGGTTATCAAGATATATTTGGGGTCATCATATTACATATTCACTTGTACATTGTGGTTACCATGACGACGAATCAACACACACACACACACACACACACATACACACACACACACACTTCTCTAAACTAATGACGTCACGAGGGTGTTTACAAGTACCTCGGTTTTGTTTACACTTCAGCTGTTAACCATACACTTAATAGCTCTCTTGTTTACGGTTGTTTACTGTCAGGTAGTTATTGGAATGTAATTGTTGTATATAATGACCCTAAATTTTGTTGTTGTTGATGTTGTTGTTGTTGTGTTGTTGTTGTGTTGTTGTTGTTGTTGTTGTTGTTGTTGTTGTTGTTGTTGTTGTTGTTGTTGTTGTTGTTGTTGTTGTTGTTGTTGTTTATCATTGATCTTATGGTCTTGTGTGTATGTCAGTTTGTCAGTTTGTTTAATTATTATTGATTTGTGCTTCAATGGTGGTATTGGATTCGTTAATTGTGTAAGGATAATGGATTATTTAATGTGTCTTTTATGTCAAGATATTATATAGACATTTTGTAAATCTAATCCAACCCAATCTAACCCACCCTATCCTGACTCAACCCCACGCAACCTAATTTTACTTAATCCAACCCCACTCATACTAACTTAACACCACTCAACCAAACCTAACCTAACCCTACCTCACTCCACTGACTCAAACATAACCCAATCCAACCCAACCCATCCCAGCCTAACCTAACCCAACCCAACCCAACCCAACCCAACCGAACCCAATCCAACCCAACCCATCCCAGCCTAACCTAACCCAACCCAACCCATCCCAGCCTAACCTAACCTAACCCAACCCAACCCAACCATTACCTCGTTTAACTATTTTTTATTTTTGTTTATAATTTTACTTTGTCGTTTATTCCTCCAAAAATCGATTTATTGATTTTTATGTCAGGTTCTTCAAGTGTGTATGTGTGTGTGTGTGTGTGTGTGTGTGTGTGTGTGTGTGTGTGTGTGTGTCTTGATAATTACACCAGGAAATACACGTGTGGGTCACTATTCCATTATTCATCTATACTACACTACATAGAATAGTGTCACTAGACGTAGTTACTCAGTGAGGGGTTGTACACATGCGTCAGTGTTTCCAGGAGCAATATATTTTGGTCTTAGTTTATAGCTTATTCTGTAAACTGACGCATGCGCACACACCTAAGTGATGAACTGGCATTCCTTGACGTATTATGCTGTTTTGGTAAGGTCTGTGTGAACGTAAACGCATTAGTTTTTGTTTTATTTTTGTTTTTCGACGTGTGTGGATCTCGCCCATGAACTACAGCGAGTATCCCGGGAGAACTACGAGGACCTCCCCTGACCATGAGAGGACGATTGTAACATCTATGCACACACACACACACACACACACACAGGTGGTGAGCAGTAAACAAGACCAGCTGGGTGGGCCATCCATCACCACCAACACTAGTGGCCGCCGCCTCCGCCTCGTTGCCAGGGGATATGGGAGGGAGAAGACAAGATGAGAGGGGAGAGAAAGTGGCTGATAAAGGGCAGCAGGTGATAGGGAAGGAGGAAGGGAGGGCAGGAGAGTGGTAGAGGAGGGATGGAGGCTAATGACAGCTAAGATAAAGACTGAGGGAAGGGGGACGAGGGGGGGGTCGTAGTAGCAACCAAGATGTCCCTCAGCTTAAGACATAACTCCTCTAAGACGTAACTTGCTAAGACGCAGGTGAACTACTGAGGGGGTTGGGGGGGGGGAGTATCCAAGAAGCAGGGAGGGAGGGAACGGGGGGGGGGAGAGGGAGTGGTCAGTTACAATGCGAGTATCGGAACAAAATCGTTAGTGATGACGTTGAAGAATAGAGCGATGGCGGGGCCGAGACTAGCGTGCCGTAGCAACTTGTTGTTAGTACCCTCAAGTGCCTCCGTACACTCAACACCACCCACCACCACTACTACTACCCTGCTTGCCACCCCCTTCCACCACCCTGCCGCCCTGCTACGCCATTCATCGCCCAAGACGCTCCGGTCATCTCGTTGGGTGGTGACATAATAGTCATGTCTCAGACGGATGTGAAGAGCACAGGCAGTGGAGACCAGACTTTGGTTAGGAGAAGTTCCTTGGTGCTTCATTATAAAGAATCACCTCCCTTGTGCTTCTAGGAGACGTTGTATCACGCTATAGTGCTTCAGACGCCATATAGTAATAGTAGTAGTGTTGTGTTTGCCATATTAGAATGAATTAGACGTGTTAACATGCTTTAGTAGTGCAATGACGTAGGCGCGCTATGCTAGAATTGAACAGCTAGTTTGAGTGTGTCTTCTGCCGTGATATTAATGCCTTGGGTGTGTTAAATCCACCTGTTGTTCTGATGTTAATTAATAGTTAGGTGGACGGTAATATTTGTTAGTTTTATTTTTGTGTTTAACCCTTTGAGGACGATGGTTTAACCCTTTAAATATGATGGTTCAGCCCTTTGAGGACGATAGTTTAACCCTTTTACAACTATGATTTAACTAAAGGGCCATTAGGCTCAAATTAACTCACTACAAAAGTTTCGGTATCTTCCAGTAATTAGATTAACTAGATATTTTAACTGTTAACTTGGTCTATTTTTTCATTGGGGTTCGGTTATATGTGTTGATGTGTTTAAAGGATTCGAAGCCGGTGTTGATACCGGTTTGAGGGGTCGATCTCTCTCTCTCTCTCGTGTCTGTGTGTGTGGTCCCTCTCTAAACAAACCCGTAATTAACAACAGTATCAATCACCTTACCTCCGGGTTGTTTATTTAGTAGCGATTATTTACACCCTAATTAGTTGAGGATTAGTTGCGTCTCACACTTGCTTTTACCTGGATTTGTAGCTAATTAATTCTTACAGTAGAGTTAGTTGTCTGTTTCTATTCTTTTGCTGTTTTCGTTTTGTGACAATTAGCTATGATTATTTTCACCATGATTAGTTTATTTCCGTTATTACTTTCACCGTGATTTAGTTACTTTTCTAAATTATCTATCTCAGAGTTAGTTGTTATTATTCACACCAAGATTAGTTTATTTTCATCGTAAATTACACCAGAATTAGTTGAATCTCATGACAGTGTTGGGATTAGTTATCAATATGTTAACTGCAAAGATTAGTTGGGAATTAATTAGTTAACTAGAATCGTTACTTATAACTGCTCTTCCTCGAATTAGCTAGATGAGCGTAATTAGTTGTGTGGGTCCAACTAATCACAAATCCATTATAATATTACTGTAAAAACTAGTGAACAATGTAGCCAAGTTTAACTGGTGTGTCAGAACTGGTTGCGGGATCTTACAGTTGCCAGGGATGGTGAGACAAGCCACTATGGGGCCGATGGGCGCTGCTGCTCGAGACCACCACAATACCATCAACTTGGAGGGCGGTGAGTGGTCAAGGAAGTTCTCTCTCTCTCTCTCTCTCTCTCTCATTTTTTTATATAAATTATCTTTTTCCAATGATTATCGTGGGACATAAATCATACGTGTCCAATACTTCAAAGGTCACCAATGCTTTATACGTGACAGCTCTACCAACTACCTTTGCGCCTGAAACACCTGTAGTTACATTTAGTATATAAGGTAAATGAATGAATGGGTTTATAACTGAGGAACCATAGCTTATATGATGAATGGAAGGTTCACTGTAAAACTAATAATGATTAAAGAAAAACTGATGTGTGTACGAATGGTAGAAGGGATGTAAGCGTAGGTAAAAAGAAATTCAAGTTTCCTTCAAGTGAAAGAAAAATGCAAGAAAGGAAAGGAAAGGAAGGAAGAGGGGAAGGAAGGAGAGTTTACTACTTCTCTGTGTGTTCTCGACGCTGTCTAGTCAATCTGCATTAGGTCTGAACTTTTGTGTGGGGGTTTGCTTAGTTAGAAGTTGTTGATGGTGTGTCCTGAGAGCCGCAACTTCTGTGATTTATTCGGCAACTTCTACACGGACCAAGTTGTGTTTCCTCCACCTTTTTTCTCCCGTGTTCCTTAATATATTTACACTCGAGTTCTTGAGGCAGGTTATTTCTTCAGTACCTGAGAATGTGGCAGGTTTTTACTTCTGTTATTGTGGAAGTTTTATTTTTTTACCCTGGTGAATGTGACAACCCTTTACTTCATCACTGGAGAATATGGCAATTTTTTCCCTTTAATCCAGGTGAATTTGGCAACGTTTTCCTCAGTGCTGGGGAATATGGCAGAACCCCTCCCCCGCCGTTTTCGTTAAGTGCATTCATGTGTTCGCCATTACGAGTATAAACAAATACAGAGGCCAGGTTTTATGGTTTACGATATCAAGGGGAAAGTGATATCAGTCTTTGTGAAAAATCTGTCTGTGTGTCATTAGCGTTGATTGGCTGTATGACGCGTTGGTGTTGTTTGGCGCTACGGGTCACAAGAAGATTAGCCCACCAACTTATTTTTAACCTGGTGATTTAACAACCTAACCTAACTTTAGCTAATCTAACCTAACCCTAACCTAAATTAACCTAACCCTAACCTAACTTAACCTAAATTAATCTATCCTAATCTTCTAATCTAACTTAACTTGAGCGATAAGGTGTTTGATCCTCAGGTGAAATAAACTGGAGGTGCTAATCTACAGGTGACATATCGTTGCACTTGCCGTGGGGGTATGTATAGTGGGAAGTGTTATATGTATTCAGGGGTCAAATTAACTACCTAATTACCCATGTAAATATGTCCCCAGCTGAATGTCAAAGGTTACAGTCACCCAACCAACCATGTGTGTGTGTGTGTGTGTGTCAAGGGTAATAAATTTAGAAGGGATGTTATTACTGAATATATAATATAATTTTTGCCATATGCCATAACATACCATAGAGCGGGTGTGTTATATGGTAGACAGATGTCGAGGTCACTGTTGTGTAAGGGTAACATTTTAACTTATTATTATTATTATTATTACTATTATCATTGTTATTATTGTCGGGTTGTCCATTGTATGTAATTCTGGGTGAAAACATGGCTCGCCTAAGACATTTTAAAACGGTGAAGAAATTTGACAACAAATTACGAAACATCAATTCACAATGTCGTCGCTAGATGGCAGCACAACAGAGAAAATGGGAAGTTTAGTTTACGTTTTCTATACTCATGGGACACTACGGTAGGTAATTTATGCTCACCTTTTAGTGATGTTTGTTTTAATTCAAGACTTTGATTGTTAATGATTATGTTAAGTTTTTCGTCCGTATTTAGGAATGATAATTACATCCACTTATGGTTATGTCTCAGTGTAATTACAATACCATATAAACTACAAGTCTACGGACTTGGCGCACCCTCATTCAACTACTACAAGTCTAATATTAAGAACCACTGGAGCAGCGTGAGGTAACGTAATCCACATCAGCCACCAACTACCACGTCAATAAACCAAGAACAACCACAACCACTACCAAGAACAACCACAACCACTACCAAGAACAACCACAACCACCACCACTATGAACAACCACGAAACAGTTTATTCCACCACAAAAACCAAAGCAATTGGTGGTGGTATTGACTGACATACGGCCACCAACGTGAAAATAAATTCGAGAAAATGATCAGAAGACACATTGTTTGTCAGCGAGGCGAGGCTGTCGATCACGAAGTGGGGAGGTAACGGCTGGTGGGTAGTGGGGGGTTGGGTTCCAACACTTCGTCTCCGCTGCCAACACTCTTGAATGTATTGGTAATATTGTCGTATTAGTCTAGTCGATTTTCTTTTCTTTTTGCACAAGTCCCAGGAAGTAAGGGTAATTGTTGGCCTGCGTGGAGTGTGTGTTTATACGAGGGTTATTCACTAAATGAGATTGAGGTCGTGAACGGAGACTCATTATATTACGAGAACTGAGACAACAAGTTTAGAACACTATTAGTTTGCGTCATTGAGTTAGGGCATTCAGTCGATCGTTTACTCTTGGTTGTATGTTAGTTGACGGTGGTAGTGGTGTTGCCAAGCCATTGTTCCTTCCACAGACACTCGCCTCACGAACCCATGGAGCTACGTATTGTCCAGGAGTTATTGAGTGATGCAAAAAAAAAAAAGGAAATTAATTCGTCCAGCCACATGGAACCTGAAAATAGGTCGATATATATGGAATTATTTCGGACTATTATATTATCCTGAAGTCTTATACTCGTGTTCTGAACCCCCCCCCTTCCCCCTCACCCCCCGCCCACCTCCCTCATGGCGTGTACACAATGTTCTGCCGCGCGTATACACATTCTACCTCGCGTGTACACAATAGTCTTCCTCGCGTGTACACATTCTACCTCGCGTGTACACATTCTACCTCGCGTGTACACAATAGTCTTCCTCGCGTGTACACATTCTACCTCGCTACTTCTCTATCGGAACAAAGACACATTTATCAACAACGACTTACTACTCATTAACATTAACGACTACTGAACAAAGCTAATTGTCCTGGATAATTATAGTGTATTAAGCTTATATGGAAGTTGGTGTCCTATATTCGTGGGAATAATTGATGTATAATTGGATATAATGGGAGTATAATGTTAATAGGTGTTTATATTATACTTTTACATATACTCGTATAGTTATATATTAATTTTGTCTCTCTGGGTATAATGCATTTTTATAGTTTTTTTTTTTTAATCATGTGGTAAATGTCCTGACGGAGAGGGTGCTAAGTGGTGTCTATCTGTCTGTCTGTCTGTCTGTCTGTCTGTGTCTGTCTGTCTGTCTGTCTGTCTGTCTGTCTGTGTGTGTCGTCTGTCTGTCTGTCTGTCTGTCTGGCTCTGTCTGTCTGTCTATCTGTCTGTCTGTCTGTCTGTGTCTGTCTGTCTGTCTGTCTTACTTGGATAATTAATTGTTTGTAATAGTAAAAAAAAAGAGAAAAAATTTTAATTAAGGAATATTGTTAAACCTAAAGTGTGTTAATATTGTTTGTGTATGTAATAGTTGTGTTTATTGCTATAGTTATTATTATTATTATTATTATTATTATTATTATTATTATTATTATATACTTGTAACATCCCTAAATCACCATCCTCACCACCCTCCTCACTATCACCATCACTAACACCACACTCACAACTAACATCACCACCACCACCACTAACACCTTCACCACCACTAATACCCTCACTACCACCACCACCACCACCAACACCATCAATCTCATCACCACCACCACTACCCTCATCACCACCGCCCCCCTTCATCACCACCATAACTAACACCCTCTGTCTCTCCTGCAGCGGACGAGAATGACAGTGGTATCGGTGTGTGCGGGTGGATCCTGACGGGGCTGTCATGGGTGTTGGTTCTGGCTACTATGCCCTTCTCCTTCTTCGTCTGTTTCAAGGTAAGTCTTCCCCCCAGGTCCTCAGGTCTTGACTCATTTGTTCAGGTTATGGCTCGTATTTCAGGTCACGACTAGTGTTTTAGGTCATGATTCGTGTTTTAGGTCATGACTCGTGTTTCAGGTCACGACTAGTGTTTTAGGTCATGATTCGTATATTAAGTCATGACTTATTTTTCAGGTCATGAGTCATATTTCAGGTCATGACTCATTTTTCAGTTCATTACTCATATTTCAGGTCTTGACTCACCCAAATTTGAAGGCGAATACAAATTAATTTATTATTATTTTACTAAATATAATTAATTAACGAGACCATGCTCAGGTAGATATAATTAATTAACGAGACCATGCTTAGGTAGATATGATTAATTAACGATACCATGCTCAGGTAGATATAATTAATTAACGAGACCATGCTTAGGTAGATATAATTAATTAACGAGACCATGCTCAGGTAGATATAATTAATTAACGAGACCATGCTCAGGTAGATATAATTAATTAACGAGACAATGCTGAGATATCTGGCAGCATTTGACACCCGACAGTTGACACAATAAATGCCATGGGTAATTCTTTTCTCAGTAGACAACTTGACCTTTTCCTCGTCAATAAACTGTGGATAGTGTAAGGTCACGATGCTTGTTTGGGGTACTTAATTACCTCGAATATCCGGATGTGTAGGGGTTTTGTTATACGGAATTGTTAGGATTTATGTTTATCCGGATTTGTTTTATTATTTTCACCACTAATATTCGGATTTGTTTTTGTTGCCTCGTTTATCCGGACTTGTTAGACGTGGTTATCTCGGTTATCCGGATTTATTTTATGGCCGCACCTCTAATGTCCGGACCTGTTAGAATTTGTTACCTCGTTTAACCGGATTTATTTTATTGTTTCGGAATATTTGATCTCCACACAAAACACGATATAACTTTCTTAGTTTATTATCCAAAAGTAGACGGACAGTATGTTGATGTTATGATGAATTATCCGATGATTGAAATAAACCATCAGAAAAAAACTAATTTTACCTTACCTTAACTTACCTTACTTTACCTAACATAACCATTATCAAATTAATATATAAAATTAACATAAACATTTCAACATGTATACAAAACATATCAACATTTGCACCGTCAACATTAATCATTTCCATAAGGTCTGATTTAGTCGATAGAATTTCATACGAGTGAAATCAAAACAGATGGTGTGATAATAAGCTTTGACCCGCTGCTCCGCTCCGCCATATATTTCATTCCTAAGTTGAAGATAAAACATTTACATTTTGATAATTAATTGATACTATGTTTGTTTGTTTGTTTTGTTTTTAGTAATGAATTCTCACACAAACAACACTAGTGAAGTTTACTGTATAATAAGGTGTGTGTTTGTTCGTGGTTAGGTGAAGATGTATGTGTATGTGTGTGTGTGTGTGTGTGTGTGTGTGTGTGAAGGAAGTGAGAGCTCTTCACCTCTACTTTATGATTCTCTAACTGAAAAACAATCACTCTGTCATCGTTGAATTCCCTAACCACAAACATGTAATTCTGATCAGCTAAAAATTCAGTGACGTTTCAAAATTTCTCTCTAATCTATTATCTTATCCATTATCTTAAGTGTTATCTTTGTTTTTAACGGTAATGGTAAAAGCATAGAACTCTTGATTGATGGCTCCAGAGATACGCGAGTCTTCATTGTGAAAACGTAAACAAATCCGCTCTTTATTTCCTCTCGATACCCGTGGCTTCATTAAAAGTGGTTAGGAGTTTTACTATAATTTACACACACACACACACACACACACACACACACACACACACACACACACACACACACACAAACATGCCCACGTGCCCTGAAATTTTACCCAACCTCTCTCACTATTAAAAATCAAAGGGTATTATTCTTACCATCTCACCAAAGATTCTGAGATAACAAGGACGATGTCTCTCACTCTCCCTCTCCCCTTCCCCCCTTCTACCTCCCCTCCCTCCCTTCTTCCTCCCCCCCCTCCTTCGTTCTCACCCTTAATACAATCTGTCTAAAGTAAATTTATTACTCAATTACAGTAGAGTCTCACAATTTTGGGGTTTACCTGCACGGCCGCCATGTTCTGTGTGGTGAGTGTTGGTATTGATGGTTAGATATAAGGGGTTAGCTAAGCCCTGGTGAGGAATATAATGTAAAAATGGTCAAGGGTGAATAAGTAAATGATACTAATATGATGATGATGATGATGATGATGATGATGATGATGATGATACAGTACATATAATAATATTGATAATGATAATCATAATTCTTGTTATTATTATTGTTATTATTATTTCGTTCACTTTTGAATGTCCGCAACTTTTTGGATTCCTCAAAACATAAATTCGTGCAAAAATTGGAAAGAAATGTTTTAAAAGTCAGAACTCTTGTAAACAAAATCTTACTGATATGCAAGAAATTTACATTTTCGTTTTTCTTTTTCTTTTAAGAATTTTCTGAACTTGATGTTTCTTTTATAGAAAAGACTTTCCTCACTGAATGAAGAGTCGAGGCTTACCTACTGAGGGTAATGACGTCAAACATTAACCAATCTTAGGGCACCTTGGGTAATGACATCAGACATCAACCATTCGTCGGGCAATTTGGTTAATGACGTAAAATGTCAACCAATCATCGAGCATTTCGGATAATGAAGTTAGACATCAACCAGTCATCAGATAGTTCGAATAATAACTGCACACATCAACCAATCGAAGGGCAGCTTGGATAATGATGTCATTAGGCCTGAGTCAATGATGTCATCTATTTACCAATCATTGAACAGCTCAGTGGTAACGAAACACTTGTGTCATTTAACAGGTGTCACCAGATATCACCAGCCAGCTGTGGCCGTGCGTAATGCCACTCTACCTGAGAAATGAGTGCCACTGTACATGAGAAATAAGTGCCACTGTACATGATAAATGAGTGCCACTGTACCTGAGAAATGAATGCCATTGTACCTGAGAAATGAGTGCCACTGTACCTGAGCAAAAAGTGCCACTGTACCTGAGAAATGAGTGCCACACCTGTACCTGAGAAATGAGTGCCACTGTACATGAGAAATAAGTGCCACTGTACATGATAAATGAGTGCCACTGTACCTGAGAAATGAATGCCATTGTACCTGAGAAATGAGTGCCACTGTACCTGAGCAAAAAGTGCCACTGTACCTGAGAAATGAGTGCCACTGTACCTGAGAAATGAGTGCCACCGTACCTGAGAAATGAGTGCCACTGTACCTGAGAAATGAGTGCCACTGTACCTGATAAAAGAGTGCCACTGTACCTGAGAAATAAGTGCCACCGTACCTGAGAAATGAGTGCCACCGTACCTGAGAAATGAGTGCCACTGTACCTGAGAAATGAGTGCCACTGTACCTGATAAAAGAGTGCCACTGTACCTGAGAAATGAGTGCCACTGTACCTCCGCGGGCCGTAGTCTTTGTAGCGCTACGAAGAATTTGATTCGCTGACTACGCTGCCGTACAGTAAAAAAAGTAATAGTACAGTAAAACGAAGGCTGCAAGTCGCGCATCTGAACACATTCTAGTCGCGATAGTAGTGAGGACAGCACCAAGGGTATAGGTACAGTACATAGTAGTAATAGTGGTGGTTGGTGGTGGTATTAGTAGTAATCAGTGGCGTTGTAGTAGCAATTGTAGTAGTTCCTGTAGTAGTTATGGTAGTGAGGACAGTGCTAAGTGCATAGTAGTAGTGGTATAGTAGTGGTAGTAGTTGTAGTAAGGAGACGATGGAGGCCTTTTTTTTAGTGGTAGTAGTGGTGGTGGTGGTAGCAGCTTCACTCCTCTAGTGTTCACAACCTCTGGTGGGATGGGACCAAGTGCAAGATGTTTCTACGCCAGACTCGCGGAGGTGATCTCCGAACAGAAGCAGCAGCCCAGAAGTTATGTTACAGCCTGGATGAGATGTCGACTGTCCTTCTCTCTCCTTCGGTCGGCTTTGCTCTGCCTCAGGGGAACGAGAGCTTCGGCCCCAATGCCGACAACAGCTGCAGATATTGACTATGAGGCAACAGTCACTGAATGCCGCATAGATCTGCGGCTCAACTAATTCAACACAGATAGGATAGCTTCTTATGTATTAGGATATTTAATATTAAGGTAAATAAATGGTGGCGAAGGTGTGGCTATTGGGGGAGGCTGGAGGCCACGTTAAGAAAAAAAAAGTGGTAGTAGTAGTAGTAGTAGTACCACAATCAAGGATGTAGGTAGAGAGAAGTGAGGCACCCCAGTCAACACTCCCCGTTATAACCCAATTATCCACACCTGACCACTCATCCCACCTTCACATACACCTGACCACTCATCCCACCCTCACATACACCTGACCACTCATCCCACCCTCACATACACCTGACCACTCATCCCACCCACCCTACATACACCTAACCACCCACCCCACATACACCTGACCACCGGCCCAACACACACCTAACCGCATACCCTACCTACACCATCACCGCTAATCACCTTACCTGGCCGCCCCACCCATCAC